TTAGGTGATTGTTGGGGAGGCTTCTACTTTATTGTTGGGTCTTAAGCTTTATTGCAGGGATCACAATCTTGATAAAGTTTGGATTGAATCTGACACTTTAGTTTGATAAATCTCATTAAGTCTAAATGTTGTAGGAATGTTAGTCTGTTTTATATATTTCGAAATATCATGAGCATTATGGAGAATTGTGACTTTGTGATTTCTCACATTCATATGGAGGATAATGTTTGTGCAGATTGGCATGTTAAGAAATTCTTAACTTTATCTTATACTGAATTATTTTTTAATGTGAACAAGCTTCATGCCTTATGAGGCATGATCAAGTTGAACCAACTAGGTTTCCCTTACTTGAGGAAACTTTAGTTTCCTTTTCTTTTTGTTCTTTATTCCCTCTTGGTTATTTTCATGGTTTTGTCTTTCTCTCCTCGGACTGCTTTTTGATTCTTTGAGGTTCTTCTTCTTCTCTATTCATGGACTGACCCTTTAATTTCTTTTTCAACTTGCTGGAATAGTTCATGTTGCTGGGTTATCTAGTTTAATTTTTTAATTTGTTTCTTTTGTGCATCCTGAGTTGTTTTGGTTCTTCTAGTTTTTTGTTTGGGTGCTCAGTCCTTATTTATTAGTGGATGCTATTGGTTACTTATACAGATGTTATCCTAACTAGATTTGTTGGTCTTGGTTGTTCTTATTATATTTTCTTAGCTTGTTGGTTTTTGTCATGCTTAATTTGTGTCTCAAGTTGTTGGTGGCTTCCTCTTGGGTGGCTCTGTTCATTCTCGGTTGTTGTTTCATTGTATTTTTTGTGATTTATTTTATTTGGTTTGATGGAGTTTTCTTTCTAATACTTTTTATTTTTTGCAGGTATTTCCTTCAGTTTCTGAGGGGTGGTTTTGAGGATTATAGCTTGGGCTTCTATTTTGGCAATTATGGCTTTTATTGAGTTATAGGTGCTTCGGGTTGATTGTTGCTTGGTCCTTTTTTTGGTTGATGGCTTCCTACCTCATTTTCATTTTTTTAATCTGCTTTTGATGTTGTATTATTTGTAGGGATCTTTGGCTCTCTAGATTTAATTTTGTTTTAAATGTAGCTTTTTGAGCATTAGTGAGCAATTGATCCCCTTAAGAACATGCATGTAACCTAATTTTTATGATTAACATGTAAGCCCCTTTTGTGGTCCCGATCCCCTCCCCGGGCAAAAAAAAAAAAGGATTTTAGCACAAGATGCTTTATGGGTAATTAACAAAAAATTACAACAATGTGATCAAATTAAATGCTTACGAGTGTCAATTGTAGATGCTAGCTAATGAAGAAAGCTAATGAAGAACACAATGATATATCTTGTAACATATTTGAATTTGCAATAAATGTCATAAAGACAAGATGGTGGCCATAGTCTTAGAAGGATTAGATGTGATCCTCATTTGATGAAGGATGGATGCAACATAAATATATATGCTCGATGGTGATTATGATGCTTGTCCAATAGAGAATGATTCAATGCAAGCAATATTGTAATATAGATGTTCTTACTAAAGATTGTTGCAACAAAAAGGAAATTGTGCCACAAGTCTTAAGGGAGATGAACATGGTGCAAATATTTAACAACATAAATGAGATTAGGCATATGTATTGAGAGAGATAAATGCAGTACAAGGTAATGGCATAGGCCATGATGTAAATGAGGTTGTCACACAAGTTTTGAGAGAGATAACAGTCGCATAAGCAATGCAATGGTGCAGGTCTTGATGTATAATGATTGCCACAATGCAATAGTGTGGGTCTTGGTGTACGGCGCAAGATTCAGGAGCATTCCGCCGTTACCTGCGTCGTTCGTTACGGCGCAAAAAAATCCGCCTGAAAATCTGACGGTAATCGCGTGTTTTCCCGTAGTGTGTATGATGATTACTGCAAGGAAATAGTGTACTATTGCGACGACGTCGTAGATCTTTTATAAGATAATATGGTGTGAGAGAGATATTTACAAGTACAACACGAGTGAACCTATATTGTAGGTCTATAGTGAGATAGCCATATATAAAAGTGAGGTTATGATGGAGGTCCAGAGATAGATAGTTTCATAGCAATTGACTTTATAGAGTGACTCTTTAGAGAAATGATTGTGACGTGAGCAACGTTATGAAACATATCTTTAGTAATGGTTGAAATTATCAAGACCATTTCACTCAAAGAGGTGTCATAGTAATAAGATGATTTTTAGTAAATAACGAACTTCATCATATCTTTAGATGTTGGCGAGTGATGCTCATGCAACCATATATAAACTATTTAGCATAGTTGCTACAACATCATAATAACTATAGATGGGAGAGATGTGTCATCTAGTCCTAAGTGTTAGCAATTAACTCTCTTAATTGCCTCCGTTGTATATAAACAATATTGCATCACTACTAGTATATAGCTTGACATTTATAATTATAAATTGAAGAATATATGAATTAATCCCAAAGTGTCGATGGATTACACACATAGATATACTATATACCATTATTTCATAGGCGTAATAGTTATATATGGAAAGAAGTGACATTCTACGTCTAGGTGTTGAAGAAAGAAACTCATGCAATCATTTTAGACTGCCTAACACCATTTTTATGTCAACAAAACAATCGTAGATGAGAGATAAATTCTATCTTTTTGCGTAGGCGAGAGATGTCCATGTTGTTTTAGATTTTTTTTACATATATTGTGAGACTTTAGGTTAGCCTGTCACAATCCAACACGACATGAACATGTCCTATCGTGCTGATCTATGACAGTCAAATCCCAAAATCTAGTTTTAGAATATTTTAGATTATATTCCAATATTCATTTTAAGTAAACTCCAAACAAACTACAGCTATTAAAACATCCAAATATTAAAATAAACTCATCCACAAGATTACTTTCATTTCATCAAAATATATCTACACTACAATACATGGCTACATACAGATGTTATAGGACTAAATAATAAACTAATCATGACTGTACAAAAATCAAAATAGAGAAATATCTATAAACCAAAATATGATCCTAAACCGCTAATCAACAAGCTCATTTTCCTTTCAAAAATCCTAAAAACTAAAAGTAAAATCACAGTGAACTATAACAGCTCAGCCGGCCACACAATCATCCGATCTAAAATTTCAAATTCTTAACATCTCCCAAAATAAATAATTCCTTAAAAGTTATATATTCATAAAGAAAAATTAGCTCAACTTTTCAAAGAAGTTTCAACTTCATCATTATCAAGAAAAATAAAGTTTAATTTCATTCATTTATCTATAATTTTTATTCTATCTTATCATTATTATATTAAAAAAAAACTCATAATTAAAACTCACTTCTCATATTTACCTATGTAAGCATCAATAGTAGAAATTTACCAAACAAAAACTTGAATTCTACATTTCTACTCACAATGTAGGTCAAAAACCACTTTCATAAATTTGCCTAAAAAACAAGCAAGTGTAAGCAAAAGTAGTAAGTAATATCCACAAGTACGTGAAAAGATCCATGCCTTCACATGCACTCACTAACTTCTGTACAGCTTTATTGATATCTTTGCAGGTTTCTATCTTAGCTTCCATAATGAATAAATATGGCTTTGAAAAAGTTAGCATTTAGCTTCATAAAACCAGCCAACTCACTTCCAACCACCTATCTCTCTCTCTTATTTATTCGCCACCTTTATAGTTGCTCAGATTAATGTACTCTGCAAGCGTGGGTTCCATCTCCTCCTTCACTTACTCTTATCTTCACAGCTAACCACATGCAAGCCTTCAATGAACCTTAACAAACTCCCTGACTTCATTTTATATAGATTTATACCAAGCTGAAAAAGAATTAGAAAAACCTTTTGAATCGATGGTTGAACTTATGAACAGTAGCATTGTCCATTGTTTTTAAGAACAGCCTTCAATGGATTCCTTAACAAACTCTCTGACTTCAACATCTTTTATATTATGTATACAACCAGTTCGGTTTAATGAAAAGGCAACGTTTGAATCTTTGTTTTTTTTTTGGAACGGGGGTATTTACCCGCTGCCACTCCCAAAGTAGGCGCATGACGACGTAACTAATCCCTCGGTGGACCTACCAACAACCAACCCCATAAGTGCAGGGTCACAATTATTTCTCCCCATTTAAGGAGTCGCATCGCATGAGAGAGGAATCGAATATGGGTTGGGAGCAGGGTTCCCAACCACGCTCGTCCACCAACTCAGCAAAGCCCGATGGGACAACCTTCGAATCTATTGTTGAACTTTGTGAATCGTAGTATTTTTCCTTGTTTTAATTAAGAATCATACGACTATTTGTGTGGTTCAAAATTCAGTTCAAATATAAATAAACAAGATATTTTAAATGATGCAACTTCCTTAATTTCTTCTTGAAGTGATGGAACTTTGAATCTTTGTTTCAGAGAAGATTTTTTAAAAGTTTTCAGAGCAAAATAAGTTAATTAGCTCATATATTTTATATTTGATGTTATTTTAAAAAAATATTTTTGAGTTTTTGTTTGTTTGATTTGAAATTAAATATAAAAATTGTTAGTAAAATTGAAATTTCACTTTATTTCTCATAAATAAGTGAACTGTTATTATAGAAATTATGTAATTTAAATAACTATTATATATTTAATTGGAATATACAGCATACCAATAAGATTCATTAATTAAGTAAAAAAGATTTAAATATAAATTTTCTCTAATAAAAGCCAACACAAAAATATAGAGCACATCAAGAGTGGCACCCATGTGAAGTTTATTAAGAGAGAGATCCATGCAGTTTAATCTTTATTGCAGAAAGATTATTTTCAATCTTTATATATTAAAAAATCAATAAGAATTAATGATGCCCATTATAAACAAATAATTATTATACAACAAATATTAGTGATTAATTATAATAATTTTTTAATTAACTTAATCTCCCTGTCATTAAGGGAAATAAGACTAGTATATATACAACGTAAACCTTCTTTCAGATATCCTCAACAAGAGACCATGGAGGGCAGGCCTATTTCAAGCAAAGCCTGGGCTGTAGCTGTAACTCAGCTTCTAATTATGAGCTCAAGCTTGTTGAATGTAAAATCACAGTCATCAACAACTTTAGTTCCTGCAATCATTACCTTCGGCGATTCAACCGTTGATGTTGGCAACAATGATTACTTGCACACCATTTTTAAAGCTGATTTCCCTCCTTATGGAAGAGATTTCAAGAACCATGAAGCTACAGGAAGATTCTGCAATGGAAAATTAGCAACTGACATAACTGGTAAGAAGTCATGGATGTATAGGATATATGTGTATAGTTAGAACATTGTAAACATTTTGATGAATTGATGTTTGTGCAGCTGAAACACTGGGATTTACAACATTTCCAGTAGCTTATCTGAGTCCTCAGGCTTCAGGAAAGAACCTTCTGATAGGAGCAAATTTTGCTTCTGCTGCTTCTGGGTATTATGATGGCACTGCAATCTTATATGTGAGTTCTGGTTTTTTTAGTTGGTTTTACAGCACTGGATTGTCTCTTGGTGGAGTGCTGATTGCTAGTTAGGGCATCTTCAACCGAAAATCCCATTTTTCACTCCAAAATGCAGTGAAATTAAAAAATGTCATGATTCACCTCCAATTGAACTCCATTTTGAGCCCTTCTGCGAAGGTAACCGTTTTCTCCTCTTTTGTGGGTTTCTTCAGCAAATCCAGTAGAGACAGAAAAATAGCGTAGGTGAACAGTGGGACGCAAATATTGACGTCGCACTGTTCACCCGCAACCAAATAACGGAAGTTTTGTCGTTCGGGTAGAGCTCGCGAGCGACGCCATTCATGTGTTTGGAGTTCGGTTGGAGAAGGCCTTAATTAGGACTGCATCTTGAGATTCAATTAAGCGAATTGATGAACAGTGGATGATTAGTCCTGTTGGTATCATAAAAAATTAGCATGATCTTATTACTTGTTGCTGCACTTCTCCTATATTCAGGAATAAGTATTTTTTCATGAAATTAATATGGGAATATTGCAGCATGCCATACCTTTATCACAGCAGTTGGAATACTACAAGGAGTACCAGTCAAAGCTAGCCAAAGTTGCTGGGAGTAGCAAGGCTTCCTCTATTATATCGCAAGCTCTGTACATTCTAAGTGCTGGAGCAAGTGATTTCGTCCAAAACTACTATATCAATCCTTATCTATACAAAATCTACAGTCCTGATGAATTTTCTTCTTTTCTAGTTGGCATCTTCTCAGACTTTGTCACGGTGAGAAGTAGATGGTAGTTGAAGTTTTTCCTATATAGACTGACTTGATTTGGGCTCCTTCAATGTATTAAAATACTCTACCAATAACATTAAGGGGATGTTTGGTATGCGGATTTAGGCCGGATTTGAGGCGGATTTGAGGCGAAATCCAGCCAAACGGCCTAAAATGCAAAACCAAATCTCACGGAAACTCAAAGCCGCCGTAGACGGAAAATTCCGCCTTTTTGTCGTAAATCCCGGATTTCAGAAATCCTCTCGTTCGGCAGATTTCCGAAATCCTCTGGCTCTATTGGCGCGGAAAGGAAGAAACTCTGCCCAAATCTTTCAACCTCTTTAAATCCTGAATGAAATAGCTAAACAGTCACATAGGATTTATCATGAAGGTTACCAAACAATTTTCAGGATTTAACCCCCTCAGGATTTCGTAAATTCGGATTTGAAGGATTTATGAAATCCTACTTAAATGAAACCCTAGATTCTACCAAATAGCCCCTAAAGATCATATTGGAGTATCACTATATTCATAAATTTAGAATGATTCACAAGCAAAAATGTCTTATTGTGAATAATTAGTATCTAAGCTTTGGTTTTACAGGATTTGTATAAGCTGGGAGCAAGGAGGATTGGAGTCACCACTCTTCCACCAATTGGTTGCCTTCCAGCATCCATTACACTATTTGGAAAGGGAAGCAATGGCTGCGTTTCTAGGCTAAATTCAGATGCCCAAGGCTTCAACAAGAAAATTAATTCAGCTGTTAGCTCTCTCACAAAGAAACTTCCACAGCTAAAGATTGCCATCTTTGACATCTACCAGCCTCTCTATGAACTAGTTGCAAATCCTTCTAAGAGTGGTAGATATATCCTTCCTCTGACTCTTTTCTTGTTTATTAGGCTTCGTTTGAGATGCTTTCTTACTGCTTCTTAAAGCAGCTTTCTAATACAAAAGTTTTAATTTTTGAACTACAAAGCTACTTTAAGAAGCAATAAGAAAGCAGTCACAAACAAAGCCTTAGTCAAGGGTGTGATTGAAGTTGGGTCAGATACATTAATGATCAAATTGATTCTCATGTCAAAGGTTAAGATTTCGTTTGTGATGGCTTTTTTACTGTTTCTTAAAGTAGCTTTTTAGTTTTTTTATTCTAAAAAGCTGCTTTAAGAAGCAGTAAGAAAGATGTCTCAAACAAAGCCTAAGTCTATGAGTGAGAGCAAACCACTTGATATTTTGACACCGATATATTTTTCAATTGTTCAGTATGATAGGACTAAACTGACAAACTTTGATTACTATTTTGAAGGTTTCTTCGAGGCTAGGAGAGGTTGTTGTGGAACTGGAACAGTTGAGACTACATCATTACTTTGCAATCCCAAATCAATAGGAACTTGCCCAAATGCTACAGGTTATGTATTCTGGGATAGTGTTCACCCATCAGAGGCTGCAAATCAGGTTCTAGCAGATTCACTCATCGTAGAAGGCATTGGCCTTATTGCATGAGAGAAAGATATGGGGGAAAAATAGTTAAAGATACTTTCTGTTTTATTATTATGGAAAGTGTATTTTCCATACTGTGAGGAGAAGCTTGGCTTAGCTTTGGAAATGGCCTCTTCAATAACTTATGATGTCGTGTTAAGAAATTAACATGTATTCTATGCACTTGTTTTTGTTGTTCTTGAGATGGTCCAATATACCCAAGGAAGGAGAAATGTTATGTGGCATATAATGTGTTGAGATTGTATGAAATCTTAAGAATTGTTTATTTGTTTTTGTTATCTGAAAATAATCATATCAGTCATATATGTGAAAATTAATGTGTTTGGATATGGGAAAGGTTAAAAACTTTATACATAACTACGGCTTCGTTTGGGATGGTTGTTTTACTGCTTCTTAAAGCAGCTTTCGAGCATAAAAATTTTAAATTTTGTATTAAAAAGTAGTAAGAAAGCTGTCCTAAACAAAGCCTAAATTACGTACAAATCATTTTTATTTGAAAATGTATATTATTAGAGGATGAATCATCTCATGAGCAGTTAAATGCTTATAATATGTTTATTCTAGATTCGACTAACATTGACATAAAAAATGAAAAGAAAATAAAACTTTTATTCTATTTTGCTATCGATCACGCTCTTATAAGCATATTGTATGAACAAAAATAGTTATTTTTATGATAGATGTGAAGTCTTTCTCATTGTCAAAAGACTTGAGGAAATGAGCATGAGGAAAAAGCCCTATGAAGGGTTTATTAGTTATGAGATAGATCTGAATGGAAACAAATTTGAAGAATTTAGCTAAAGATCAAAATCAAAGCATAAGAAGAAGGGCTAATGCTACTTTTGTAAAAAACATGATCACTAAAAATCTCAATGCAAAATTTTACTAGAAAATAAATTGATTTGAAAGACATCTTTAGCTCTATAATAGTATAGAGATAGTTTGATATAGGTTTTACAGTTGCATATTGCTTTCTTCTTCAATTAAGGCATCGTTTGGGATGGGTTTATTACTACTTCTTAAAGCAATTTTTTAGAACAAAAAATTAAATTTTTGTACATGAAAGCTGCTTTAAGAAGCATTAAAAAAGCCGCTCCAAACGAAACCTAAAGCTTGAATTTTGATTTTTTTTTGTTCTTATCCTATGACCCCTCATATGGAGTGATTCTCTTTTTAGAAAGTTGTTATTGGTGAAAATGTTTTCATTGAACAAGACTTGGCTTGTTGAAATATGATGAAATTATAAAAAATTTGGGAGGTTTGTTACTTGTTAACATTGACGGAGAACATTATATTTTAGGACTTTTTGGACTCCAATAGGCACTACAGGAAAAACGCCGATTACCGGCGGTCATGACCGGCGGTTATATAACCGCCAGTAATACCGCCGCCTAATAAAATCGCCGGTAAATATTTCCTACGCCATTTTTACCGGCAGCTTGAGAACTGCCGATAAGCCGCCGGTATATTTGAAAACCGCCGGTTTTTTACGTTTTTCCTGTAGTGAGGCATTAATCGACAAAATGATAAAGGTAGAGTACTATAGATTTCTAAGAAAAAAAGCTTGTTGATCTCCACTTTGTTGACAAAAGCACTATGATAGGTGTAACATCAATTTCTTCCTCAAAATTATTAAGCTAAATTATGAAATCTAAGGCTATAGGATATGTCAAATTAAAGTAGAGACTATTAGAGACCAACAAAAACTATTTCTATAGCTGTCAAAGTACTAGCTTTTTTTACTTTTATGAACATGGTGTCATGAAAAATCTGTTGATTCTAATTTTGATGGTGATCTTGAGAGAGGGAGGTCTCAAATTAGGCTTATCTTCACTATCTCAAGATGTTTTATAAAGTGAAAGGCATATCTTCAACCTACAATTTTTTAATCTATTCTTATTGATTTTTTAAGTAGTTTTCTAGTACAAAATTTTTTATATTTAAAAGCTGTTTAAGAAAGCAGTAAGAAAGCCGTCCCAAACAAAGCCTAAGGGAGGGCTTTTTTATTGCTTTATAAACATGCTTTTAGTACAAAAGTCCCTTGAAACTAGAGAAAACTATAAAAAATTGATGTTCCTATTATATATGTATTATTATCTTTCTTTTCAATATCTTTTAGTTGATGCACTTGCATAACGTAGGATCTATTTGAGACTGCCACAGCTTTTTATAAAAGTGATTATAAAGTTATTGTCGGTAAAGTAATTTTTCATAAAACAGCTATAAAAAAATAACTTTATAGCATAAAAATTTATTGAAAGCACCAAGCAAACAATAGTCAAACAAAATTGTGGTTGCAATTTAAAAAAAGTTATCCTAAACAGACCCTTAGTCTATAACACCACTGTCTATACCAAAAAAATGAAATTATTTTGCCATAATGTCTCAATAGGGGTGTCAATATTTGATACGACACAAAAACCCGACCCGGACCCGACCCGAAAAATCCGGGTTGGACCCGACTTGATTTCAAAACGGGTCGACTTCGGGTTCCCGTATTCGACCTGTTTGAAAAAACGGTTCGGGTTCGGGTTGACCCGGCGGGTTGCCGGGTCAACCCGAAAACCCGTTTAATTTAAAAAAATTGGATTACCGCCCGCTGCCCCCGCCTGCGCTGCATGCTGCCCCCACCCGCACTGCCCGCTGCCCCCGCCCGCGCTGTCGACTCGAGTCGGGTTAGGATTATCGACCCGTTTGAACCCAGGTCGATTCCGAGTTTGACCTAAACCCGACCCATTACCCGAAATTGACACCCCTACTCCCAATGGCCTCATCTTGAATTCACCCATGCTAGCAACATCCAACACCGAAGAACTAGTTAGCGGTCCCTCTTTACTAGAGATAGATTATTACCCAAGATAAGTATCTAATAAGGCTGATGAGGAAACTAACCAACCACCATAGGGAGTTTCATCTTGTTGAATTATGAGACCCTTTGTTAGTCTCTATGACAACCTAACATTTATATTGTAACAGTTCATAAGCATTGAGTTGGTTGATCATTATAGGAGAATAAATCAAATATTAATACTTTACGTAAAAATTTTATATTACACTAGTTTATAACCAAACAAGATCAAAATTTAGTTAATATTAATTTTAAATTTACTTTAAATGAATAATATATATGAATAACTAATCAAAATTCATATTATGCTTATTTTAAAATAAATTTGATGAATGACCAAATTTTGATAAGAATATCTTTACATAAAAAATTTATATTACACTAGTTTATAACCAAACAAGATCAAAATTTAGTTAATATTAATTTTAAATTTACTTTAAATGAATAATATATATGAATAACTAATCAAAATTCATATTATGCTTATTTTAAAATAAATTTGATGAATGACCAAATTTTGATAAGAATATCTTACTCTATTTTTTTTCAATTTAAAACCCTATATATATAAAAGTTTACAACCATTTTAAAACAGCTGCAAAAAAAAAAAAAAAAAAAAAACCGCTGCAATCAGTCTTCTCTGTAAGCGGTTTAGTGTTAATTAGTTGATATCTTATTGGGTTTTTTATTGGATTAGTCGTCGGATGGGCTATAGAATTATCTAACAGAGTAAACAATTATCAAGTTGTGTTTCAATAATGGCATAGCCCTAATATGAGAAGCCCACAGGATAGTAATGAGTGGTTCAATTATTTAAGTTTTTCGTTTTGATGAAAGTGTTTTACTTAATATTTTTTTTTAAATTTTTGGAATGAAAGTACATCAAAGTTTTTATTAAAACTTCATTTGGAACGATTTTCTTACTGCTTTTCAAATCATTTTCTTAATACAAAAATTTCTTGAATTAAAATTTTTTTGTATAAAAAAGCTATTTTAAAAAGCAGTTAGAAAGTTATTCAAACGAAGCCTAAAAAGAATCACTATGGCTTCATTTGATAAAACTTTCTTAGTGCTTTCTACATTAACTTTTTAGTACAAAATTTTATTAAAAACAATGAAAAAATGACGAGCAAAAGCTGCCTCAAACAAAGCCTAACATTGATGTTGAAATCAAGAAACAAAATTTTTGTGTGCTTATACAACTCAATAAAAGGAAATTGAAGTTAGAAGTTATCATCCTCTTGATATATTGTCAAGGCATTAATATTTCACAAGACATTTCCTCATTAATTCTTGAGAGGATGATATCTTAATCATATGTTATCTTATCAATTAAATCCCTTCACTTATGCTACATCTCACCCATTTCCATTTTTTTATCATCAAGTGAATTTTCCTTTACTATATGCCTATGTAATTATACATGATCAAATTTGTATTTTTGAAACCGAAAAATGAAAAAAAAATTATATTGATAAAGTTTTCACCTCTTAACTTTTTATATGTTATAGAGATCGAGATTATAAACATTTTGAATATTTATTTGATATTTTTTGTTGGGTGATTTTAAAAATGCAACGATTTTTGCCTACTCAGAAATTTATTTTGACATATAATAATGCTTCAATTCAATTAAAGCTTCAGAATAATGTTTTACAAAATCCCTACTAATTTGGTTAATTTTTGAAAATATGAATTTTTTCCTTAGTAAGATTTTTGTTACTTACTGTTAAGATATTTTGACACTTTCTGAATTAAGTTTAATTATGCTTTATTTATTGTAATACATTAGAAATGAATGTAGATATGTGATTGAGATTACTATTATAGTATTGTGATAATAATGTGAGTGTAAAAGACATGAAAAGATTGGTTGACCCATTAGTTTGAGACTGATTGGCTTGTACAAGTGATGGGTTGACGAGCTTTTTTTTTTTAATATTGTGATTTAGTGTTATCCTCTACTGATTCATGTGATCACTGATTGAGAGTTATAAGGAGATGATTACTGTGTGAACGAGTAAAGAGTGACGACTCTATTAACTAAGCCAACAGTTTACTGATACTGATATGATACTAAAAAATAACGTGATAATCAGAATTCTTACTTGTTTAGTTTGACTATTGAAATGAATATTATAGAAGCATTGTTCATATTACTGTATGCATTTATTATTAATACTATTATTGATTTATTAATATAAAAAACATGATATATACATTAAGCACATGATATAAAAGATATATTGATAATGTGATTAGGATATTAATTTAATATTGATATAAAATAACTAAATAGTATGTATACATTCTTATATGATTTTACTACATTAATTTAATTTCAACATTATTTACAAATATTTTGATTTGATGCTTTATCCATTTTATGTACTGATTGGTATTATAGATACGACGATTATTTTATAGATTTGACACTTATACTAGTTTACTGCTTTACTGGCTTTCGTACCATAGTGTTTTACTGTTTATAGATTCTACTACTACTGCATGTGAATTTTAAAGTTTCAATATTTATTCAATGATCTTATGAATGCTAAAACTATAATTTGATCTCTGTCATGCATATTACTCATTTAACATACTTTGTATTCATTTATAGATTTTAATGACCTATTGGATATTTTAAGCTTATTATATGTGGATAAATATTTTTGTTATAACAGAGGATCAAGAGTGTGAGATTAATCATGATTTCTCATATTCTATTTCTTTTTTTCGTTTTAGCTATTTTTTTTGTACTCGGGACCTGATATATATATGATGATTATATAAATTTTGAATATTTTATATGATTTTTATAAATGAATACATTTGTGTACACTAATGTTTTGAATTATATAATCTATTTTTATTGTTTATTAATGATAGATGATATTAAATAACTCTAGCTATTATTTATTAAAAAATAAAAAAATAATTCTTCCAATTTAGATTCTACGCATCACAATAAAGAATATCAGAACTATAGCCTGCATGTTACAGTCTAATTGCATGTAAGCAGCACTACAACAACACTAGAGCTATTAAAAAATTTGTTGTCAATGTACATCTAGATAATTAGCTCGAATTCAACTTATTTTATAAGGTTATATATTAACAAGTTGTAAATTATGTGAGAGTTAAGTTTAAATATGATTCAAGTTCAAGAACAAACATCATATGCTCAACTCAATAAATAAATAAATCGAAAAAAAAAAAAGATTATGCCATATACTTAGGCTTTATTTGAGATAGCTTTCTTACTGCTTTGCTTTCAGACAGTAACTATAATTTCTATATTACCACTATTTTTTTATTGCTTTAAAAAAAAATTTGTATTAGGAATCCACTTTGTACAATAGCTTTAAGAAGTTATTTTCTCTATAATAACTTTACAAAACAGTAAGAAAGTCATCCCGAATGAAGCCTTAGTAAGTCAAGCCAAAATAATAATAATAATTAACTCACTCAAATTCGGCTACTTTCCACCCCCCCTAACAAAGCAACAAGCTTAACTTGACTTCAGTAGAATAATAATTTAACTCAATAGATTCATGCTCAAATTTTCCTTTGACTTGACCCGATTGATTGCAATCTAACAATGCGTACAGAAGCATTTATTGCCAGTTTCTCAACTCACAGTTTCAAAATCTAAGGAACTTAGCCTCCGGATCTAGATTCTAATCTAGGAACCTCAAAAACCATTAAAAAATAAGCATCAATTATTTGATAATTATAAGTATAGTTGGAGTAGAATTCACATGGCTGTCCTGCTTTGACAAAATATTCAAAGAGGGGTTCATCACATGATAACAAAGAGGGGATGCATTGAAATTTTCCTATTTTGTTAATAAAAAACTAAACCCAGGAAAAGCAAATGATAAGGCAAGTGCTAGTGAAAAACTATGGGTGGATAATGGCACTTGTTATTTTTCTTTTGTCATACTTTCATTTCATCATGTCATGATTATTCGACAAGTGATGTTCCCTGGAGTATGCTTTTTGCTGACGATATTCTTCTTGTTGATAGGACTAAAGAGGGAGTTAAAGGTAAACTTGAATTATGGAGATCAACCTTAGAGTCTAAAGGTTTTCGTTTGAGTAGGTCTAAAACCGAATACATGTAGTGTAATTTTAGTATAATAGATCTAGTGGGGGGTTTGTGACTTTGAGCGATGAAGTCATTAATAAGAGTACATGTTTTAGATATCTTGGGTCAATTGTTCAGAGTGATGGTGAAATAGATGAGGATATTATTAGTAGAATTCAGGTTAGATGGATGAAGTGGAGGATTGCATCGGGTTTGATGTGTGATAGAAAAGTACCACTCAAACTTAAGGGAAAATTCTATAAGATGGTGGTTAGACCTGCAATGCATTATGGCGCAAAATGTTGGCCATTAAAAGAGAAGCATAATATTAAATTAAGTGTTGCAGAGATGGGGATGCTCAGGTGGATGAGTGGCTTTACTCTTAGAGATAAAATGTGAAACAAATATATACGTGAAAAGGTTAGCATAGCTCCAATGGTAGATAAGATTAGAGAGAATCGCTTTAAATGGTTTGGTCACATAAAAAGTCGGCCTTCTGATGACCCCGTTAAGATAATAGATGTATTAGATTTGACCTATGTTAAGAGAGGTAGAGGTAGACCTAAAAAAACTTGATTAGAAAATATTAGAAATGACCTTTCTTTATTAGATCTAAATGAGAATTTGACTATTAACCGGACACAATGGAGAAAAATGATCCATGTAGCTGACCCGACGTAGTGGGATAAAGGCTTGATGTTGTTGTTGTTGTATACTTTCATTTGATCATGCAAAAAATAATTGCATCAGGATATTCAAATACAAAAAATATCAAGATAGTGAAATACTCATTCAAAATAAAAGAAATACAGTATCTTCTAGGTTTCCTATTATGATAACATGTTTGTATCAGGATACATCCTGATACAATTTTTTTTCCTTTCCCAGTTAATTTTAAACGAACAAACTACCAAGAGGCCACATGGGAGAAGCAAGCAAAATTAAAGGCTTAATTGACTACAAAGGGAAATAGAAAGACAATGAAATAGATTGCTTCAATCACATGGCCTTGGTGAACTGCACTTGGACCTGTTGAGCAGAACTAATGCAAATAAAACAAATTCTCCTGCATTTCTTCTTCGTTTTATATTCTATGAATGCCTTAGTATTCTACTATAAAGATGGTTATCTGTCCTTCTGGTAAGCACGGCAATCTAGCTTGAGCTCATTACCACTTCTGTCTTGTTATAATTTGTTGTTTTAGTCAAAGACAATGGCAATTCCAGTAATCAACTTAGAAGAGCTAAATGGAGAGAAGAGGAACCAAACAATGTCGCTTGTCCATGAGGCCTGTGCAAAATGGGGCTTCTTTTGGGTAAGTAGAAATGAAGTTTCAAATTCTGTCTTAATTATGTACAGTCGTAACATGCAACTGGGTCATAATTACAGGTTGAAAATCATGGAATAAATGAAGGATTAATGCAAAAGATCAAAAGTTTAGTGAAAATGCACTACGAGGAGAACATGAAAGATAGCTTCTATGATTCAGACATAGCAAAAACATTAAAAACTCATAACAAAGTTTTCGATTTCGACTGGGAAAGCAGCATTTTCATTCGTCATAAGCCTGATACAAGCACTGAAGCCATTGCAAATCTAAAACCTGAGCTCTGGTAAGTCTCTACGTTTAAGGTTTTTGTTTCACTTCCAAATGAGTTCTTGCATTTGTAACCATCACTTCCAAATGAAATATTTATGATGCAGCAAAGCAATGGAAGATTACATCGATCAGGTAATAAACTTGGCTGAGAAGCTGGCAGAAACTATGAGTGAGAACCTCGGATTAGATAAAGGTTACTTGAAGAAGACATTTTCAGATCCTTACATAGGAACCAAAGTAGCAATATACCCTCAATGCCCAAAACCAGAACAGTTCATAGGACTCCGAGCTCACACTGATGCAGGTGGAATCATTTTATTGCTCCAGGATGACTATGTCTCAGGACTTGAGTTTTGGAAAGATGGGGAGTGGGTGCCAATAACTCCTTCAAAATATAACAGGATATTTGTGAACCTTGGTGACCAGTTGGAGGTTGTAAGTAATGGTATCTATAAAAGTATTTTGCATAGGGTTCTTCCTAACAAAGACGGTAGTCGTCTCTCCATTGCTACATTTTACAATCCTGGTGCAAACGCCATAATTTCCCCAGCGCCAAAGCTCTTGTATCCTGGACAGTACCGTTTCCAAGATTATCTTAATTATTATGCTGACACTAAGTTTTCTGATAAAGGATCACGATTTAAGACTATAAAGGAGATGCAGGTGTAGCAATGGTGTGTGTTCTATTACTTATGAATAAGAAAGTCTTAATATTGTTGTGTGAATGTTATACTGCTACATGAGTGAGATGGACTTGTAAAGTTTGCTATCCAGTGTAGCAGGTCTGTGTGTTTAATTATTGAATGGAATGATATAATATGAACTCTGTTCTACTGTTCAACTATTCCTTGTTTCATGTGTTGAGAATTTCTAAAAACAATATTGCTATAGCAATTGAGTTTTGATCTAGAAATGGGGCCTCAAACACTTCAACTGCTTAATTTTTGATAATTTTATCTGAACTACTTTTAAATGGAGTTGATTTAGACTCCAATTTTCTCATTTTGTTGTATCATCTTAAAGTATTTTGAATTTCAACCGTCACACTAAAAGGCATCTCAATGTTATAAAGTATACTTCCTTATATTTGAGACATTTTACAATCTCCCATAACTAAGAAACATATATAAGTTTCTTGATTAAGAAACTAAGGTCCTTGTCAGTGGTGGCTTTATAAAAAGCCTAAAATCACTCATAAAACAAATAAGATTTTAAAGGTCTCCCTTATCGGTTCAAGAGATTACTCCTTCCACCAAGCACTTTGTCTCTATCAAGTTCAAGAAGCAGCCCATATGGCAGCTAAGGCTTCGTTTGCAGCAGCTTAAGCATTTTTAATTTTTGCATTATAAAGTTCATATCTCAGCCACAATTTTATAAGTATTTTTTTTTAAAATAGCCTTTTAAAGGCAAAAATTTTCAAAATCCGTGAAAAAACTATCTTCCAAATACATATTATTTTTTTTACTAATTGCTTTTCTTACCATAAAAATAGTCAAAAAATTGATCCAAGCGAAGCCTAAATTTAATCTTCTGACTATATTGCTCTATAATAACTAGAACTTCTATACATGAGAATAATATCAGCCAGACAAGCCTCAAGGTTTTGCTCTTTTTTTGCTCTCCCAAAAAAATCACCTTTCGTGTCATAACATAAGCATGTTTAATTTTAAAGTTTTTGATGGAGCTTTAACTCTTACAACAAAAATGGCCTTAATATTTATGAGCTTTGCTCCACTTCAGCTAAGATATTTTACAATAAATATGATGAAATCCAAAATGAGAGTGAATCTACAAAATTATAGGATAGCTCACCTGTTTTTCTGCAGAAATATTACATTAAAAAAACTTTTAAATCCCAAAAGGAATTCCAGTTAGAAGTTCATTGACAAGAAATTAAGATATGCAAAAATAGCACACAAGATTGACCAACTTAACATTAAATAGATAGCAACTCATCAAACTCTTAACAAAGTTTTTAGAGTTAAACATGTTAAATAGAATAAATATTATACAACAAAAGCCTATTGTTATGACCTCTATTGTTTTTCATCATCATCCTCAAAGCATTCAACTAAAGTGAACGAAGCTTGTTTTTCATCATCATACTCAAAGCACTCAACTAAAATGAATGGAACTTATTTCATAGATAAAATGGTATCTCTATCTTTATTTCTATGCTGTGTAATATGACTTTGCATCATTTTCGAATCTTCATAGATTATTTGATCTCTATACAATCATAGGAGTAAGTGAATCTCACTAAACCACAAAAAATTGTGTTAGTAATTATGATATTTTGTGTGTTTTGCTCAGTCTTTATTTGATCTTTGCCAATGTCATTTTAGTATTCTAACAGAGAAGTGTAGCGAAGTCACCCCATCAAATTCAAAACAAAATAAAGGATACAAAAAAAAATAAATTCTACAGCGAGCCAAAGAAAAATCAAGCTGGGATGAACGTGCCTCAGACTTTTTCTACCAAACACAATTGCGACTCAAAATAACTTAATGAAACCAGCTCATTCAGGATCTCCCAGACCCTCCATCGTAGGAGGCAATAAGAGACGCCCTTCTTTTCAAAAGGAAAGCGTGACATCTGCAGGATATCAATTGCTTGATTATGATCAACGCCAAACCTTTCATTACATGATGGTATGACTCCAATCATCAACATTTACCTCAGAAGTCATGGAAATGACGTGGTTTTCGAATACCACCATCCTACTCCATCATCAGCTTTCCACGGGCTCAGTAAAGTTGCATAATGCGGAAGAAAATAGCCTCACAACTTATATAAACAAGTTCATCATCTAGTCATGAAGAAATATAAACAGATATGAAAGACGAGGAGAGGCGTACGAGTAACAGGGGACGCCTGTTCGGAGAATGCTTAGGTTTTAGCCCAAAATGCAGCGTTTTAGGTGCTCATTTGAGGACAGAGAAAGGATACAGGAAGCCAAGGAAGAAGAGGAGAGCGGTGGCTGCGAAAATCGAACCGTCTTCGTTTGGGCATTGCTCTTCTCACGGAAGCAAATCGTCGAACAGGTTGCGGGCGGCTCGGCAAATTCTGGTTTCAACTTTAAATCATAAACAATTTTAAATCCCATTTATCCCCCATTTTACCTTAAATTCAGGATTATTGTTAGTTAATTAAAATATAATAAAACTAAATAATAATATTATTATTTAATTTAATAAACATTATACTAATTAGTTTTATAAACTATTAATTAATGATTAATTAATATGTTTTCTTTTCCTAATTAAATTTATATATGAACCATTTATATTATATTTAATTTTAATTGAGCTTTTTAACGAGCTTACTTATAAGCTTTGAACAAATACTATACATGATACTTAAAAAAGTCGAGAAACAACAAGATATTCAAGTTTGTTCATTCAGCAATCAAGTATTTATAAAAGCAATTAACGTTGCTCAATTTGTTAATCAAATGAACATGAATAAATTCTTATCGAATCGACACACAAATAACTTATCAAATGCTTAGGGCTGCAAATGAACCGAGCGTTCGACGAGCTACGCGTGGCTCGACTCAATAAGAGCTCGTTTATGTTCGTTTGATAAGGTGAATGAATAAGTTTAAATAATTTTGACGATACTCGATAACTAGATAAACAAACTTGAACAGTCTATCAAAATAAAAAAACTAATTTCAAATATACTGTTTAAAATTTAAATAAGTCTTCAAAATCAAAAAAATCCAAAAATTTTATTCTCCCGCCGTCACTATGCTCTATTTCTCTCTCTCCTCATTTTGCCTTTCACTCCCGCTGCCTGACTCTCTCTCTCTCTCCCATCCGTGGCCACAAGAAAAAAAAAATTGTAGGGCTTTAATCCCACACCATAACAACAACAACAACAACATCAAGCCTTTATCCCACTACGTGGGGTTGGCTTTAGTCCCACATTGTCTAGAATAAATGGATTTTGATATATAAAAACAAATACATCTAAACTCTAGTAGTTAAAAGTGGCGGACGGGTGCCCGTTCTGGGCGGGTATGGTAGTTATTTGCTTGATTTAATGTAAATAATTAAATTTATTTTGTGAGTAGTGGTCTGTTTAGCTCGCTTAACGAGTTGCTCAATAAGAGGCTCGACAAGTGTTCGTAATTGAACGTGTTCAAACACTCGAGCATGAAAATTTTAAACGAGCTCGAATAGCTATCCAAGATGCTTCGAGCTTGAGCTCGGTTTTGAGAAACGAGCTTGAACTCAAAAAGACCAAAGCTCGGATCGGATCATTTGCAGCCCTGAAATTCTCAATTTATTCGAAGTCCAAAATGAAGAGAAAAATATTGCTATTATTTTTGTTGTTCTAAAAAAAAAACTATTTTTGTTGTTCTCTTTTATTTATTGAAGTACAACAACAACAACAACAAATTGTCATCGTACTTAACGCTTGACCACTAATTATCGTCGAATTTTCTCTCAGCAATCGACCGTCACATATGTGATAACTCAAATATGTGAAATAAATTTATTTGAAAAAATATTAAAATTTTAAAGTAGAGCGTTTTGGCGCTAATCTAGTGAGTGTTGCGGTGCTAGGCCATTATATATATACACCCCACCAACTCTTTCACTTGGTTTTTTAGCCATTAAGAAATTGAAAGAGGGCAAGAAGAGAGAGGAGAGAGAAAAGTCTTTGAATTATATTTGTCACCTATTTCTATTACAAATTTTATTATATTCATTATAAATGACTAATCTCCTACTTCTGTTTTTTATGATTTTGATTTTCATCTCTTCTAAATCTACAAATATTGCATTATTTCCTATTTTCATGAGCTTCCATCATGTAAGTTGGAATATGTTATATATTTAATCATTCTAAATGATTTGATATAATTTCATTATATTTTAAATAAAATACTGAATGATATCAGACACATGTTATGATAACTTCACGTGATACCTTATTAATCCACATGATTCACTTATTCGGATTCATAAAGAGTTGGAGATTGATTGAGAATTATAAGGAGTCGCAGTGACTAATTCATATGATTCAATGGGAGTTATAAGGAGTACATTGATTGGGAGTTATAAGAGGCAACTGATTAAGAGTTATAAATGCAAGAGCAAAATACCCTTAAAATACACTCATTGAATGCTTGAATACTGATACCAATACTGTTAAGAACAATGTAATGATATTATGACTGACATTAATATTGTTTACTGTCATTAATACAATTTAATATTATTGATCATGATATTAATATTGTTACTAGCATTAATATTATTGACTATTATTGATCTTGTGACTAAGCGAAAAATAAGTTCGGACATCCAATAAAAATTTGCCGCGTCAACCTGCGCTTTTGAGTTGCGCTTTACTTGCGCTTTACCTGCACTTTACTTGCGCTTTTTGACTTGCACTTTACTTGCGCTTTACCTGCGTTTTACCTGCGCTTTACTTGCGCTTAATTTAAAATAATATTTTATTAATATTCGGACCTATCTCCGCGTCCGGTCACCTGACCCAATAATTTGCCCCTCATTGTGCCTTTCATTCTCCCACCGCCTGCCTCTCTCTCTCTCCCATCCGTGGCCACAAGAAAAAAAAAAACTGTAGGGCTTTAGTTCCACACCACCAAAACAACAACAACAACATCATCAAGCCTTTATTCCACTATGTGT